AAACATGAGAGAACTGAGGCACAGAAAGGTCAGTTTGCTCGAGGTCACACATGTAGACAGGGGTGATGCCAAAATGAGATTATTTAGGAAGTGTATGTGGAAAGGATTGAACTTTAGTGAGCATCAGTATTAATGGCTGGGAAGAGGAGGAGCCTGAGGAGACGTAGATGAATAGTTATTGAGTTAGGAGGCGAGCCAGAGAATGTCATGAATAGTCAAATTCAAATTAACTTAATAAGGTAAGTACTGCAGGTGCCTGGCACTACTGTAGGAGGTCAAATGCCAAAGCCCAGTCACAGATAATCAGGCTCCGAGGCTAGGTGTCCACAAAAGCTATTCAGGTTTGGTTCATTGCTGCCAAGATTCCTCTTTAAGGAATCTAATAAAATATAGAAAAAGAATGATTTCCCTTTGGTTACTGTTTACAGCTAAAGTAAGAAGAAAAATCCCTTCCTAAGATGATTCAGTTGTGTGGGCATGGGAAGATAGTGGAGAGATGGGGAAGTTGGAGGGGAAGGTGAGCGCCCCATACCAGATTCTGCTGAGCTGGGCAGGAAGGAGGACAAGAGGAATTGTGGGAGAGTCCTTGCTCTGCCAAGGCCTGTAGCTCTACCGCCCCCTACCGTGACTCTGATGGCGTGGGTAGGTAGCAGTGGGTGTCCAGCTGGCCCTCCAGCTGTGCCTGAAATTGCCCCATGGCCCTATCTTCTCCCTGGTGTTGCCTTGTTTCTCTCTGGATAGACTTTACTACTGTTTGACACCAGGTTGGCATTGGAAATGTCATGGGATTGCCATTTAACAAATGACACTCCTGTGCCAAAGAAAATATCTGATCTTTCCTTTTTTCTGTTTACATTCTTTTATACATGTTTCAAAAGTCTTAACATAATAATAGGTGACATAACTAAATGATATATCTACAAATTATAACATGCAAAACAATATTCCTTTCTTTTTATCCTCACTCAAGGACATTTTTAAAATTAATTTTTAGAGAGAAGAAGTAAGAGGAAGGAGAGAGAAATATCTATGTGAGAAAGAAACATTGATTAGTTGTCTCCCCTACAAATCCTGACCTGGGATTGAACCCACAAACCTTTTGATGTATGGTATGATCCTCCAACCAACTAAGCCCCTGGCCCAGAAGAGTATTCTTTAAGCTTAAGAGTGTCACACTTTCTAAATTTATTTGTTAAGTTTGGCATTTAAAGTTGTATCTTGGCCCTGGTCACGTGCACACCCACTGGGTAATTCAGTTGGTTAGACTCGCAGTGTTTCCCAAAGTGTGGTATGCGTACCCCCAGGGGTACAGGAAGAGTTTGGTGGGGGTACGTGTTGCACCGGAGTTTGGTGGAGATATGCACTGCACCGTGCTTAGCTGCACCTAATTCTACATTCTCATGAGTCCGAGGGGTACTCAGCATTACGAAAATTATTTTGACATATGTCAAAAGTTTGGGAAACACTGGGTTAGAGCATTATCCCAATACAAGCAAGGTTGTGGGTTTGATCCCTGGGGAAGGTGAGCACCCCATACCAGATGCTCATGAAAGAATCAACCAATGAGATTCCAAGATGGCTACAGAGTAACTGGAAGCTGCTCACCACCACTAATTAAAACCATAATGAGATACTCATACCTGCCAGTATGGCTACCATTATTCAATCAACAAATAACAAGTGCTGGCAAGGATGTGGAGCAAAGAGAATCCTTGTGCCCTGCTGGTGGGAATGCAGACTGGTGCAGCCACTGTGAAAAACAGTATGGTGTTTCCTCAAAAATTAAAAATGGAATTGCCTTTTGACCCAACAATCCCACTTCTGGGAATATATCCTAAGAATCCAGAAACACCAATCAGAAAGGATAGATGCTCCCCTGTTCGTGGCAGCATTATTCACAACAGCCCAAGTGGCCGTCAGTAGATGCATGGATAAAAAACAAATGAGGTACATTTGCACAATGGAACACTACATGGCTGTAAAAGAGAAGGAATGCAGGCCTTTGTGACAGCAGGGATGGACCTCGAGAGTATTACGCTAAGTGAAATAAGCCAGCCAGAGAAAGACAAGCACCATATGATCTCACTCATATGTGGAATCTAATGAACAAAACAAACCGATGAACAGGAAAGAGACAGAGGTATGGATACATGGAACAGACTGGGAGCTGTCAGAGGGGTGGGGGAGGGGGAATGAGTGAAAGAGACTAACCAAAGAACATATGTGCATAACCCATAGACACAAACAACAGTGTGGGATGGCCAGAGGGAAATACGGGTGGAGGCTGGGTGGAAGTGGGCAAACGGGGGTGGGGAAGGAGATGGGGACATCTGTAATAGCATCAACAATAAAAATAAAGTTAAAAAAAGAAACTACCGCCGAGACCGGTTTGGCTCAATGGACAGAGTGTCGGCTTGGGGACTGAAGGGTCCCGGGTTCGATTCCGGTCAAGGGCATGTACCTTGGTTGCGGGCATATCCCCAGTAGGGGGTGTGCAAGAGGCAGCTGATCGATGACTCTCTCATTGATGTTTCTAACTCTCTCCCTTCCTCTCTGTACAAAATCAATAAAATATATTTTTAAAAAAAGAAGAAGAAAAAAAAAGAAACTACCATGAATGCATAAATAAGTGGAATAACAAATTGATGCTTTTTTTCCCTTTCTCTTTCTCTCCCTCTCTTTAAAATAAAATAAAAAAAAAGAATGTTTCTTCTATTTTTTTAAATACATTTTTATTGATTCCAGAGAGGAAGGTAGAGGGAGAGAAAGATAGAAACATCAATGATGAGAGCAAATCATAGATCGGTGCCTCCTGCACTCTCCCCACTAGGGATGGAGCCTGCAACCCAGGCATGTGCCCTGACCCGGAATCGAACCCCGACCTCCTGGTTCATAGGTCTATGCTCAACCACTGAGCCATGCTGGCTGGAAGAATGTTTCTTTAAAGTTGTGACTTGCACATGGAAAATACTTATGAGATGTGAACCTTAATTTGTTTTTACTCTTGTAGATGAGTCTTGGGGACAGGACTGACACTTTGCTAGAACCTAGCAGTTGTATTCCAACCAGGTCACACCATTAGTCTGGGTTCTCTTGAAAGCTACAGAGAATAATGTTCGAAAAGTAGCTCCTTTGAAGATGACTGCTATGAACAATGCAGATGTTTACTTCCTTGCAAAGTTGATCTTGCTTTCTTTTCTGTGAAACGTTTTGTGGTTTCTAAAACCAGTGATGAGTGTTGAGAAACAAAGTAACATAGTTAAAACAAAACCCATAACCATTGGTGTTCTAATGTACTTAATATTGGTGTTGAATTATGGATTTTCAAAAGTGTAAAGATCATTCAAATATTACTCTTAGAGAAAATTCTTGAATCTCTAAACCATTAGTATTTTATTCTACTTCCACTAAGGTTTAAACATCTCAGCAATGTTTTCTCAGAGCAGAGCTGGATGTAAAGGGTTTGGGGATTTTCAATGGACCTGAACTAAAACCAATCATGGCTCCAGAGGTGGTGGGGTGGATGCTAGTATCACACACACACACACACACACACACACACACACACTGCACCTCACTTCAAAGCACACCTTACCTCGTTCTGGAACCGCACAGTCAGGGTCAGTTTCAGAGAAGTGGTTCCGGTCTGTGTCAGAGCCATGCTGCTTTGAAAAAACTTAAAGGTAGCGGAAACAACATGTTAGTTGGATGTAGCTGCAGTTTGAAATGGTTTTGGTTCGAGTGTTATTTTAAAAAAATATTTTGTATTGATTTCAGAGAGAGGAAAGGAAGAGGGAGAGAGAGAGAGATAGAAACATCAATGATGAGCAATGATGAGAGAGATAGAAACATCAATGATGAGCCTCCTGCATGCCCTATACTGGGGATGGAGCCTGCAACCAGGACATGTGTCCTGACCAAGAATGGAGCCCAGACCTCCTTGTTCATAGGTCGACACTTAATCACTGAGCCACCACAGCCAGGCAAAGGTGATATTTCTGAACTCGTCCCCAGGCCCCACTGATCAACTTGGTGGTCCCTGAGTAAGAATTTGACAGTCCTCCAGGTACCCACAGTGTACGGATACACCTGAAGAAAAAAAAAGAGGCAAACATCAATATAATATATTTAGTCTAATGTGCTTTATGTCCGGTGGGAGATCAGAGGAGAGAACAGGTAAATGATGTGTTAGTTCTGTCCAGAAGAGGGACAGGAAGGACACAGACAACAGGGAGGCATTAGAACTTGAGGTGGCTTCGTTGTCAATTAGCTTATGAAAGAGAAACCAGAAATCTGTGTTTCCTGTTCATGATCAGAGGGTTTTTTGTAACTGTTCCGTCTTACTGGAAACTGGCTTGGCAGCGAGGTGGCTGCAATAGAGGAAAGTCTGTTTTCCCGCTTGCCCAAGTTAGGATTGTTTGGTTGGGAAGCTGCATTGGGGCAGATGGTAAGGAAAGCCCCTGGTGTGTGAGAGCCAGCCCTGTGTGTGCTTAGTGGTTATCTCCATGCTGGCCTTGAAAACAATACAGTTCTATCCAATTAAAAAAGTGCTCCTGGCATGGCATTGAGAGTATGGGTGTATCTAGTCTTTCCTGTCAGCTGGGTGGAAACAAATGTTTTCATGGAACAGAGTCTACCTTCCACAGGAGTTCATGCATGGGGAGGAAGGCCACCAAGGCCGCAGCCTCGAGAAAACGGGGGTGGTGTGGGGTGGAGTGGGGTGGGGGAGAAGGGGTATTCGAAAGGCCAATAGTGGATGCTGCGGTTGGGTCTGTTTATCAGCAAGAGCTGGTTTGGTTGAAATAAGAAAGCGAAAGAGAAGTCAGGGGCCAGAGAAGACGCCTTCCCTTTTTTTTTTTTTTTTTTTTTTTTTTTTAGTTGCTCCTCAGCAGAGTGGAAAGCCCCAGCCAGACCCCAGTGCACCAAAAGCATCCTCCCAGGCGCGGGGCAGCCACAGGGCAGAAGCAGCCAGCCCGGTCCCGCTGCGCCCGCCCAGGGGCATGGAGTCCATGAAGAAGCTTCAGACGGTCCTGGACCTGTACCTCAAGCACCGCGACGCGCTGGGCTACGGCCTGGTCACGCTGCTGACCGTGGGCGGGGAGCGCATCTTCTCCACCGTCGTGTTCCAGTGCCCCTGCAGCGACACCTGGAACCTGCCCTACGGGCTGGTGTTCCTGCTGGTGCCGGCGCTGGCGCTCTTCCTCCTGGGCTACGTGCTGAGCGCCCGCACCTGGCGCCTGCTCACCGGCTGCTGCAAGGACGCCCGCCCGGGCTGCACCGACTACTGCACCGGCTGCTGCGGCTGCTGCACCAGCTGCTGCGGCTGCACGGGCTGCACCGGCTGCTGCTGCGCGGGGCCGCGCAGGGCGCAGGTGTGCGCGCAGCTGACCTGGGGGGCCGCCCTGGCGCCGCTCACCTGGGTGGCCGTGGCGCTGCTCAGCGGCTCCTTCTACGAGTGCGCGGCCAGCGGGAACCGCATGCTGGCGCGGCGCCTGTGCAATGACACCCTGTGCGTGAAGGAGCTGCCGCTGGTTCCCTGCCACAAGGCGAAGGATGAGGCCGTGCAGGCCCTCCTGATGAACCTCAAGGCCCAGTCGCAGGTCAGCGGAGAGGGCGGGCGTCCGGGGGCGGCCCCGGGAAAGGAGAGGTCCGTGCCCCTTTCCCAGGCATAGGACACCTAAGGCACACCAGAAGGGCTTCTTGCTTCTGGTGAGCCAAGAGGCAAAGGAGGTGATGATGATGTTACGGAGTTCCCGAACCATCAAACACTGCAGGAGGAGAGTTTGGAGAGACCCACTTTATGCATCGCGGGATGGGCTCAGAGAAAATGAATTCAAATGCTAAGCAAGGCTACAGGCAGAACTTCCCTTTTTTACCAAAGAGCCAGCCCTGTGTGTGCTTAGTGGTTATCTCAATACAGTTCTATCCAATTAAAAAAGTGCACCTGGCTGGCATTGAGAGTATGGGTGTATCTAGTCTTCCGCCTACAAGGTCATACAGCTAAGTTTATCTTCATCATTCTTCAAGCAGGTGAAAGCAGGCTAGAAAGCAAACATTTTTAAAATAAGAGGCCACAGCAGGAAATTCCAAACAGCAGGGTTTTTTTGTTTTGTTTTGTTTTGTTTTACAAAAATAGGGGTTTTCCTTCTCAATGAAAGGGATGGGAAAGACGAGAGGCGCCTCATGTAGCAGCCAGGAGAAGGCAGAATTGTCACAAAGCAATGCGTCTGCCTGGCCCTAAGGCACCATCCCACACTTCTTCTTGGAATGCAGAGCTCAGAGGCTTTTGAAAACGAAAGCTCGCTTCCCTGGACTTGCCAGTATTCCACGTTCTGAGTTCTAGGGGACTGACAGATAGGCATTTCCCTGGACTCTTGACAGGACTTGGGAAATGACTGACTTGCAGAGCAAGCAGTTGTAAGAGGGCTTCCAGAGGGTTCCGCAGGGGTTCCGCAGGGGTCCCGGAGGTCACTGCCTCTTTTTTCCCTTATGAGATTAAGACCTCAAATTGTTGCTTGTTCATCATGACTGCTGAGTAGTTCAAACTTTTTTTTTTCTCTGAGGGTTTAATAATGACTTGTAAAAAATGTGACCAAATTAGTATTTTGATGTGTTTTCCTAGATCCTGGGCTGGATCCTGATAGCCACTGTGATTGTCGTCGTTCTGATTGTTGTGTCTGTCACCCGATGTGCATCTCCAGTTAGTTTTCTGCAGCTGAGCTTTTGGAAAATCTATGTGGAACAGGAGCAGAAGATCCTCAAAAGTCAAGCCACAGAACATGCAACCCAACTGGCAGAAGAGAATGTTAAATGTTTCTTTGAAGGTTCACGTCCGAAGGAAATCAACACTCCGAGCATGAAAGCCTGGCAGCAGATCTCATCCCTATATACTTTCAATCCGAAGCACCCGTACTACAGCATGCTGCACAAGCATGTTCACAGAGAAGAGAAGAATCAAAGTATCAAAAGCTTAGAAGGAGATGAGGTGGTTCATGTTCTTGACTTTGTAGATAAACATAATTTACACACCACTGATGCGTTATGACCCTGTGAGTGAATAAAAAGAAAAGGGTCCTTTTGAATTATTACTTCATCTTTTAAAAGTGTTTACGGTGGGGTTTTACTTTGGTCTTCCAAATTATGGAATTATGGAATTTTGAATCTGAAATAAAAATGTGTAATGTTACCTCTTTATTATATTAATTATTTTTTTAAAAAAGCAAGTGGGGCTAAATGTGCCACTGAAAGTGACAAACTGGAACTAGAACAACAGTTTTATGTCCTTAGTCTAGGGTCCTTTATGGTGAATAATATTGCTGCTTTCAAATACAAGACTTTATTTAGTAGCAAAACAACAACAACAACAACAAACAAACAAACAAAAACACAACAATTGAACTTCAGATCTTTCTTTTAGGCTACATGATATCGATTTCAAGTTCACTTTCTTGCAAGCAGCACCTTGTTAGGAACTTTAAAATACTTGCATTTTATGTCTCTGAACAAAAATACGAAAATTTATCCTGCAAAGGAAAGTAAAATTGTTTAAATATGAAATTTGAAAAACCAAATTAGGGTAATTGCAGACAATAGTTGTTTTTAGTGTGTAGGATTAGAGGAAAACTTTAAAGCTGTTTATTATGGTAAATTTCAAATAGGCACAGAAGTAGAGAGGATTGCATTATAAACCTCCATATAATCATTGCACAGCTTCAACAAAGCAGGGAAGTCCAATAAAACCCATACCATACAAATAAATATAGAGATACAAGCTGTGGCCTAATGTAGATAGGAGAGGCAGTGGGGGTGGGGGGCGGCGGTGGGGAAGGGAAGGGGGAGAGCTGTGAGAAACTGAAATCTGTAGAGTAGAAAAGCCTTTCCGTGTGCAGGGACAGTATGTGCAGAAGCCGAGGAAACAAAGATCTGAGCAGAGTTGGGAGCCTGAAAGGTAACTGGAAAAATGAGCAAGGGACAGATCATGCGGATGATTCTAGGTTTGTTCTATGAGCATTTTAGAAATATTGTCTTGCTTTTCATGTGGAAAATAGGAATGGCTAGGGGGAAGAGGGAGAGACAAGATGGAAGTAGAAAGTCTGGTCAGGAGGCCACCCCAGTGGAAACAGGCAGGAGTGAACTTGAACTGGGTTGATAGTGACAAAGAGAGAAAAAGTAGATAGATTCAAGGTGGATTTTGGATACAGACATGACAGGATGTGTGGATGGGAAGGACACAAGGATTTATTGAGAAGAAGATTATGTATTGATAAATTATGGTGCTTGATGTTAGGACCTTTCAGGGGACATGCGGTTGTCAAATTTGTCCATTCCACAAATTTATGGCTGTTTGTGCATTTAAAAAAAAGATATATATGAAAACTTTAAACAGTGAAACAATTGAGCACTGACCATTTTTAGCCGTACTTCCTCTCTTGGCAGACCCTTGTACCAGCTTCTACCTGCCCTCTGTCACAGCACCCATTAAAAAACTACTCAGCAGGGCTGAACATCCTGTGGCTGAGAGTCATCTACAACAAGACAGCTGGCAGCAGACACTGCATACTTTGGAAAATCCTGTCACATCGACTTTCACTTTTGCTTCCTTTATTTCACTTCCTAAATTCTTTTGTATATTCTTTCCCACCCTTTTTTTTTTTTTTTCTGGTTTACCATTTATACATACATTTTCATAGTCTTACATTGTCTCCATTTTGTGGATCTATGCTCCACATTCCCTTGCCCAGTCTTTAATAATTACAGTTAAAGAATACATGCTTAAGATAATGGTGAAGAGTAAAATTGCCTCATTCCTTTGCAATATAGTCTTCCCAGAGGAAGCCTTATCTCTGTGTCTAGACAAATATTATCACACTATCACTGTGGTGCTCAAACTTTGTCACCCTAAAGCATGGCTGTTGCGTATACATATGTAACAATTTGCCTCGTAGAAATTACTGCATGGAATTCTGATTAGTATACTATGATCCCTTTTTGTTAAAGAACAAAAGAACATAGGCACACACATACCTATAAAGATAAGCATTGAATTGTCAAGTTTGATCAATTCTGGAGACTAATAAAGAGAAAGGGGATTGGTTTTCAAACCTCATGTACTTCTGACTTTTTGATGCTTTGATTATATATAATAAATATTAACTGTGTTTTTACAAAAGACTAGGACCTGATGCACTAAATTCATGCAGGTGTGTGTGTGGGGTCCTTCAGCCCGGCCTGCTACCTCTTGCAATCTGGGACCCTTCAGGGGATGTCCGACTGCTGGTTTAGACCCAATCAGGCCTAAACCGACAGTCGGACATCCCTCTTGCAACCCAGGACCCCTCGCTCCTAACTGCTTGCCTGCTTGCTCCTAACCGCCCACCCACTCACTTTTAACCACCCACCTGCTCACTCCTTACTACCTGCCTGCTGCTTGCTCTTCACTGCTTGGCTCTCACTGCTCCTTAGTGCTGTCATGGAGGCGGGAGAGGCTCCAGCCATCACTACTGAGCTCACCACCTGTGAGCCTGGCTTCTGGCTGAGCAGTGCTGCATTGAGCATCTGCCTCCTGGTGGTCAGTGCTCATCATAGCGATTGGTCATTCTGGTTGTTCTGGTAGTTCCACCATAACGGTCACTGGGCTTTTACATATATATATATATATATATATATATATATATATATATATATATAGTCCCTTACACTGTCAACAAAGCTGTTTTGCATCTTCCACCTCATTTCATTTGCATGTGTTTGTGGGGCACCCATGCAACACATCACTCACACGTACAAATGAGGAATTGAAGAGGAGAGGTTACCTTACTAGACCAAAGTCACAAGGTCAGCGAAAGCAGAACTGAAGCTAGGGGCTAATCCTCTCTGGATCATGTGGTACAAAGTGGCTATGTGGCTGTTTTTATTACAGAGTTTTTTTTTTTAAGCCTATGTGTCCTTATAAGCAGAGAAGATAAAGAGGCCCTTAGCGACCCCAATATTTCTCATCTCATTCAGAAACTTGGTGACTGTCGATGGCTAAAACAAATTTGAATGAACACAGTGAGATAAAGACGGTAGCGCCGTGATGGGACACACCGCTCTTCTGAGTCTGGCCTCAAACAGGCCACGTCATGGGCTCAAGAAGCATCCCTACACTTGGTGTAAATTATTTGCTGTTTCACCAACTGATTCTTTATAAATACCCTGGCTTTATGCTACCCTAAAGCCTTAACTTTGGAAGAGGTCCAAACACAGCACCTGCTAAGAATATTTGTTGAAAAACAACCATATTGTTGTAAGGGTTGATTCTACAATGCATTGAGTACTGGCAAGATGACACAATTTACAGAGCATAACATTAGTCACAGTCTCTTTGCTCCATTCAAAGGCATGGAGAGAAAGATCAATAGTGTAGGAACTGATTAAAGAAGCAAGTCCTGAGGGAAGCATAAGAATATATAATTAGCCATGTACAGAAATGGCTGGTTGAAAAATATCTTGGAACCCCTAAGTTTCACATCTTGCATCTCATCTACCAGGTGGCCTATTGTAATAATTCTTCTGAAGACAACAGATGGAGAGATGTCCTCTGAGTCAACCCCAGAAGCAGCAACCACTGTCTATTTTGTCAGCAACAAACTCCACTGAGGTCAACCATGTGTCAAACACCCAGCCGACCCTGCGTGCTGAGCCTTTAGTTGATTACTTTGATGCTTACTCTTAATTACCTACTTATGAAAGATCAGTTGTGAATAACAATATGACGACAGTGGAATTAATTATATTACATTCTTATCCAAGGAAAGAGATCTGTATCAAAAAAGAGATGTGGTCTGTTAAGAACCTTTGCTACAAGGAACAGAACATAAGAAACTTCCACATGAAAAAAAAATTGTATACGATTAGGCAATTTATTGTCATTTTAAAAAATGTGAGAGAACAAACGTAGAGAAGAGTAACTGAAACATTTATGTATACTTTAAAGAATATTGAGACCAGGCAGTGTTTTTCCTCTGAGTGAACTGAAGAACCACCTCACACATTTCTCTCTGATGCCTAAATCATCTAATGACTGAGTCAGACCGTTGGACACGCTAGGATAACCAACAGAATACAAGAAGATGCTGATTTTAAAAAAAGAGTAAGCGATGCTCTCTTTTAGACTATAGATGTCTATAGGTCTGGAGTTTGAGAAATAATGCATGAGACTTAATGGAATATGCTATTGTGAAATTAAAATCATATGGAAATGTATATGTATGTGTGCATATATGTACATGAGTTCTCTTATAGTACCTTGCATACATTTTTAGTAGTTCGTTTTTCTAGGAGAATATTACTTAAGAAAACTTAATTTAATAAGATTATTGCTAATGGTCAGATGGGACTTTATATAATCAATAGTCACAGATTGCTTTTCAATCCCTGCAGCTCACTTTTCAGTGATTCTTCTTGTCAAGTTTTGGGCTCCATTTAAACAATGACCTCATGTTCACCATCAAATTCTTAATACATTAATTTTCAGTCATTCAAAAAACACTCAAACATATTACTTACTATATATGGGAGTCTTTATAATGTCACAATTAAGAATTCAGTCCCTGCAACACCTTTTCTTGATAAAAACTCTCAGCAGAGTGGGAATAGAGGGATCATACCTCAGCATAATAAAAGCCTTATATGACAAACCTACAGTCAATGGGCAAAAACGAACTTCATTTTCACTAAGAACAGGAACAGGGATGCCCACCTTCACCACTCCTGTTCCATATAGTACTGGAAGTTCTAGCCATTGTGATCAGACAAGAATAAAAAGCATCCAAATTGGAAAAGAAGAAATAAAACTGTCCTTATTCGCAAATGACATGATACTGTACATAGAAAACTCCAAAGATTCCATAAAAAACCACTAGACTTACTAAATGAATTTGGAAATGTAGCAGAATACAAAATTAACACTGAGAAATCTATGGCCTTTTTATATACCAATAATGAACTCAGAAAGAGAAACTAAAAAAAATTTTTTTTCATTTACCATTGCACCAAAAAAATTAT